CTCCCCGGTCACAACACTGATGACACATTAACAAACATAAAGGCTCAATCTTCCCAAGCACGTGGGAACACGGTGGCAGGACCATCTCCTATTTGTGCCACGGGTTCACCAACAGCTTCCAGAGCAGCTGAGTGGCAGTGGGAGAGAGATGACAACCATCCGTAAGGGCTGAGAAGGCTTGTGCTAATTATCATGTGGAAACAAGATTGCAATCATCAAGCTGACCGCACTAGGCATTTGCTCGCTCAGGCCATAAGGCAGCCCCTTGCTCTGCTTGGTGGCTCCCCAGAGTCATTTGCAGTGGGAAGGGTTGTGAAGTTACTATGAAAGGGTAATCTATTACAAATTACTCATTAAAGCAATTGAAAAACCAGTGATATATTACTGATTACGCCTGTGTCACGCTAGCTTGTGAGCAAGACTTGGTTCATTCTGCTGATTGGTCTTGTGCTTTTTATAGCAACCTTCCCAACACAACTTAGACACACACACAGCTTCTTTCCTCCTCCTCACCCAGATGAGCACATGGACATTGCATTTTTTGGAGGGACCTGCTGTGCCTGGCCACACGTGTGCTGCCTCCTGAGCAGTCAAACCGCTTTAGCACCTTGAAACTAAATACCCAGCTGCAAATCTGAGACCTTTGTTTTGCATCTGTTTCCGGGATGCACTAAGCCACCAGGCTGTGGCCAGTAACCATCTGTGCTGGTAACGCTTGGTGGTTTTTGGAAAACAACCTCAGCAGCCGAGTGACCAGGCTTTTCCACCTCTGCTGGCAGTGGATGAGGGTACAGCCAGCTCTGCTCAAGTTATATCTGCTCCGTCCTGCCCGCTTCCAAAACCTCACCACCTCAGCATAAATTGCTGGCTACAGCCCCTCGGGCTCTCGTCCAGAAATAAAAAAAGCTCTAATCATCTTCCTCGTAGTTTGGCACCATCAGAGTGTTATTGTTGCTTCTGCATGAGGAGCTTTGCCCACAGTAGATGTTCCCACTTTAAGCACTCTCATTAAGGAGACAGGACTTTGTGCAAGATCCTCACAGGCAGCTCCAGAGCTCAGGATAGGCATGGCTGACCACCAGCAAGTCATGGGAACAGCTAGTGCTTGCTATATGTTCAGTCCTTGATTTATTTCTCTCAGCCACAGAAGGGTCTTGAATATAAAAGAACTATGAAAAATGAGGCAAAACCAGGGAGGTGTTTAACTAATGAAGCTGGGAAGGAAACGGAAAGCACAGATCAGGAGAGCAGAAAAGTGAACACAGTGGGAACAAAGAAGGATGCCCGAAAGAGATCACTCGGGAGTCCTGCAGCAGGGGCACAGTAAAAGCTGCAAGGGATTTGCAAAGTTTGGAGCAATGCAATAGCTGAGCACACAGCAGAAGTGGGGAGATGAGAAAGCCCAAGTCTTGCATTTATGTTCATGGCCACAGGGAACTGCAGCTCAGTGCCACTAGGCAGGTGCAGGCCACCTCTGTCCCAGAACAAGGGGTGACCAACAGGCAGAAGGAATCAGACAAAGGCTAAAGCTGTCACTAAACCCAACAAAACTGGAAGAATAGATCTCCAGAGAAGTTAACAATCAAAATATGAGTATAAACATACCAACAACAAAAAACACATGGGAGATACAAGACAAGGAGAGGCAGCAGAAAAGAACACACGACACAGAGCACGAGGTGGCCTGACGTGGCTTATTTAGGTGATGGCAGGCAGCAGTGTCCCGTTGGCACATAGAGCTGGACATTTCTCTGCAAGACCACACCTTTGGGATTTCACATGGAAACTGGCGGGGAGGGCTCACCAGTCTGCTCCCGGAGGGAGGTCAGACTGGACAGGGGGGTCAGAGAGCTGCTGCCATCCTCTCGAATGCAGCCAGCACGGCGGGTGCAGCTCCCGCGGCAGGATGCAGCTACGCGCCTTTTATCATTGGAGTCAGATTGTTCCTGTGCAGGAAAGATCCACTCTCCAGCTTCGCAATGACCCACTTCCTTTTTTGCTTTTTTTAGGAGCAGAATTTCTTTTCTCTTCCTCCTCCACCTCAAAAAAGCGGATATTTAATAATTCGGATCGGAAGCGCTTGCTATCACGAAGCGATGGGTGGTAGCGGCGCTGCACCTACTGACATCACGCTGACAGTCTGGCCAAGTCTTCATCCCGTCAGGGCTATTCAGTAAAATGCAACTAATTATTCTGCCAGATCCTCGACCAGATGACAAATTGATTCATGGTACTAACTAAAAGAAGGGGAAGGAGGAGAAATTGCACCATTTCCTATGACTGAAACTACATTAACCTGTTACCCCAAGGAAAACTTTGTCAAAAGTTTTTATTGCTGCGGCTGAGCTATGCGCCAGACGGCTGAAATGCATTGCCAGGAGACCCGTGCTATGAAAGTTCATATGCAGAGCACAGTTTGCATTTGATATCCATCAGCGTTCAGAGGAGAAAGATCTTTTTTCAGAACATCTGCAGAGTATCTCATGTGTCACAGGACCCAAAACTGTTATCAGAAACTGCTAACTAAAACTTAACAAAAATCAAATACCTGTTTTTCTAAGCTGACCTGAGGATGCTGAAAACTAAAAGTAACACCAGGGAGACTGCTTAAAATGAAAGCTTTTACTCAAGCTGTCAGTCAACTCACAAGGGAAACTTTTCCTGGATACTGCAAGAAGTCTATAATTACATCTTCATTGCGAGGGCACACCAGTATGTTGCTTGTTAATCACTTTCAGGAAAACAGCTATCAGAAAGTCATTCTTAATAGCACCATTGCCCAGCAACACAGCCTCCCTTGCTCACTGCAGGGTGGGTACTTAAAATTTCCCTTGCATTAATCTCCTCTTTGAGCAGATTTCAATCCCACCAGAAGCCTGCAATGCAAAGGCACCTTCTCACACATTCTTCTGACAAAAGCCTATATTCATGCAACACCATAAAGCTAAAACAAACTCCTAAACTCTCACAAAACCATTCTTCTCCGGTAGGAGTGACGGATGGCAGCCTGTCCAAAACAGTGAGTGATGCTAGATTTTGCATTTTCCCCTCTCCTCCAAAGAGATACCTTCTTCTCTCCACCAGACGCAACGCCAGGAGGAATGCAAAAGTTCAGCATTGCCCAAGCTGCCCTGCACTTGCTCCTTAAATGAAGTAACCAGGACTTGTTCCCCATACATGTACGAGCAAGTATGAGCAAAGCGTCATTCCCTTTCAAAAACTTGGACAATGGTAAAAGGTAGAGATAGAAGGGAAGAGAACACAAGGACAAGTAAGACTGTCTACACCTATCTGGAACCCTTAAGCTTGTATCTGAGAAGCAAGACCTCTGCCCTTCCCTACATAAAGCAACCAAGAAGAACAAGGAAACAAAGACAAGCAAGAGGCAAAGCATGTTTGAAAAGAGGAGAAAGATATAAACCACCATGGATGGAGTATTATTCTCATGAATCATGATTCAGAAGAATAATACCCTAAATGGAACCTATGATACAGTGGGGTGAGATACAGCAGACTGTTACAACAACACAGAGTGAAGTCCACAAGCAAAGTCAGAGCCCTCCCAGCTACCTTTGATTCAATGAGTCCTGTGATCTGCTGCTCCGTTCCTCCAAGGGCTACTGATGCAATGTGCCAGATTCCGTGTTTCTTTCCAACTGTTCTGAGTCTCCTGCATCTGATCTCAAAGAAGGGAGCAGAAACAGCTGGAAGAGAGAAACCAGAATGGCATAGTCCAGCAGCAACCCTTGGAAGAACAAACAACGACAGCCTTGTGAGAGGTACCGTTGTCCCCCAGCACATAGGTTTGCACACGTCTTCTAGAAGAAACACACGTTGCTAGCGCATCAGCTCTGGCCAGTCGCAGAGCACCAGAGCATCTTCTGCCTTAGCGCAAGCTGAACGGACCGACAGCTCAACAGCACGGCCGCAATCCACAGTCATTGGTGCCAAACAAGCCACGCGTGCTAAATGCAGTCTAAGTTTAGCACCATGCTTCTCCTCCAGCGGTACCTTTACTCCCTGAGCAACTCCACTTAGTTTGCTCACATGAGCTGCTTGCAGCCAGTGCAAGGGAAGCCAGAAAAGGTCTACTCTGTTTAGGCTTTAAAGCTCCTGTAGATCTAGCTGCAGGCCAAAGGAGGAGGCAAACCAGCAGGTGAAACAGAAGACCGAAAGAATAAACTTCTTCATAGAGAACTTAGGTATTTGCTGCCAAAGGAGAGGATTAGTTGTGAAAATCAGGAAGTCAATGAAGCAGAGAGCAGCAGGAGGCCACTGCAGATAATAGGGACACTAGGAGCAAGGCTACTGCTCACCAAGGCACGTGAAGGGGAGATAAAAAGGCTTGTGCAAAGACTAGAAAGAGAAAGCAAGGAGGTTGAGGAGATGGTGCTGGTGGAGGAAGGGCCACAAGGGAGAAAAAAAAGCCTTTGAAAATGAACCATGGAAAAGTGATTAATAAGGGAAGAACTGTCAGGGTTGATGTTAGGACCTTCTGATTTCCACTAGAAAGAAGTAAGACACTGAAACTCACAATCAGATTTGGGGAAGGAAGGCCAGGAACACAGCAAGACCAGGACAGAAGGATGCCATTTAAAGGACAGACATGGAATTTCAGACAGAGAGAAAATCAAGATTAGGATGATCAGGAGTTACACACAGGAGAGGACAGAAAGCAAGTTTAAAGGCTCATGGGATACTTAAGGCAAGACAGCCCAGAAGATTTCTTGCCAGCCTTACAGTAGAGATGAAACAGAAACCGGAACTTTTTTCCTGACCACAACTTCCTTATAATTAATTACTAGAAAGCACAGGCGCATCACATCTCTCCAGGACAGCAGTACCACCACGAGCCCGATCCTACAGCACGTAGTACCATTTCTAGAGTACTCCCTCAACTGCAGATCCCTTCTGCCCCACATGAACCTACTGGCATTTTACTGCAAATTAACTCCCTTTCTTAAGTGCCAAGTCATCAAGGGCAGTAACAAAGCGAGTACCTGGAGTATCACAAGTCTGCCTGTCCCCTGAAGAGTTAGTTGGAGGTGTCCGGTGTCGGTAGACTAGATGTGGTTTATTGTGCTCTTCTTCATACTCCTGTTCTTCGAGCGATAGCAGCGGCTCTACAAAATAGTCCCCATCATCAGACTTGAACGTGCCTAGCTGAGAGAGACCAGAGAGGAATGGGTGGTCAGCTTCAGGCGATGACAAACCACAGAACAGGACTAGGTGACAAAATGAGTAGATAACAAGGGAGGTGCGCGAGTGCCCAGTTCTGCAGCGACCCCTGCAAAGGCACAGGCTGAAGGTCCAGCTCCATCACACCACTTACACCCACACCTGGCTGTGCTGCTCCCTACAGCCATACCCCTGGAACTTATGGAAAGGAGATGACAAATCCACGGGCAGACAGCATGAGAGGGGCACATCTGTCAATCCCTTTCCTATGCCAGTGACAGCCCTGCCCAAGGGGAGATGATGCTGCAGCATGCTGGAGGCCTCAGTGCACTCCCATCATGTTGTGCTGGTTTCCATGCAGCAGCTCTCCCCAAGACAGGCTTTAAACACACATGTTAAGGACCAGAGGAAGGTGCCCAGCCAGTGAAATCCACGCTTATGAGAAGGCACCAACGCTCCTAGTTACAGCTGACTCTGAAGGTAGGGATTTGGCAGATAAAAGATATCCAAGGCAAAAGCAATCCTGCAGCCATCCTAGACGGGGATGGATGAGCAGTA